GAGAGAGAGAGAGAGAGAGAGAGAGAGAGAGAGAGAGAGAGAGAGAGAGAGAGAGAGAGAGAGAGAGCTCTGGAGAGAGCTGTGTTGAGGTTTGGAGGTCGTTAGAATCTCAAAGTTTGAATCTTTCACCGCTTTGGAAACGTTAGAATCTCTCTCTCGTCTGTGTGCCCTCCATTTCCCCCTATTCCGAACCTCTCTCCACCCACTCCAACCGCTCCCCCCCACCCGGAGTCACCTACCCTCTCCCCACCACCATCTGAATCTCTCTCCCTCCACACCAAACATCTCACCCCCTGAAAATGAAACACGTAATCAAACTAACAACAAACGAATTAACAAAGCTATACTGAAAAAAGGGATTGATTTTTCAGAAGGATAAAGCCGCACACCGTGATACGGACAGATCCGGACATGTCTGGATAGTCCGGCTCTTTCCCTATGTTCGCGCATTCGGATGCCATCCAGACTGCCCGTTTGCCCAGTTCCACATTGGCCTGGTGTATGGGTCCACCCTGGCCATGAAACAGAGGGAAGGACGGAATCTGAGGAGGCGAAAGAGGATGAGAAGTTGTTCAGCAGGACAACGAGATAGTAGAAAAGTCAGAAATGAGCGAGTGAGGAGGGAGAGGATCAAAAGCTCAACCAGGAGATGTTTTTCGTTTGCGTGGACTGTTAAGTATTAAAAAAAGTTGCAGAGTTAGGTTCTAACTCAGGAGAGTGAAGATTACCTAATACCTAGAGATAAAAGTTCATAAACACAAGTCACGCAATGGATGACTGCCTCCGCTGATGTTTCTTAAAAAAAAAAAAAAAAGGACTGGCGACATCTCTGCATACATTCCCACTTACGTTACTTCTTAAACAGATGGGCTAATTATTTTTATCTGCTGGTGCATTCAATGCAGGATTTCAATCTGCAATTCATGTTCAGATTATGATTAGGAGGAGAAAGGAAAGGAGAAGTAGAAGGAGGTGGAGATATAGATCGAGCAAGTTATTTTTGTTGCTTTTTTTCCGGAGAAAACATAAGTTTGGTATAAAGTTATAAACTTTGGGCATACTCAAACTTGTACTCTTGTGGATGTATGTGGCCATCATTACAACCTAATTCACTCCACATAGTCAAAGTGTGTATGCTCTCAGACCCATGCACAATTGTGGCATATCTGAAGGTTGAATTCCTAAGGCAGGCAGTGTACTCAGTACGTACCTGCAGTTGCTCCTGGGCAGTTTGTTCCATCTTGGTCAGCAGACTCAGAAAGAATTGGGCATTGCTGCGACACAAAAGCAACAAGGTGGGAACATCATAACAATCTTACAAGTTGGATAAGTTAATTCAATTATAAGATAATATTCTTAATTTTATAATCACACACTTAAAATATGGCAATATGCATAATTTGATATCATTCAGTGATTTACTTCCGTTCTAAACCACCAGTACACCCGAGGCTAAATGTACGAGCCTAAATTTGAATTTTGCTTGGACTGCAAGCGACAGACACCACTACTGGTAAAATTCAGGGTGGTACCGGTACCGCCCTCTGTGCTGGACCTACTACCGGCAGATGGAACAAAGAGGAGACCATTGATTTCTCGTTTTCTCATACCCCACCCTCGGCGTTGCCGTAATTGCAGTCAGATACATTCGCGAAAGTGCTAGCCTGAGCACTGAATGGATTCCTCCCTGCCTCTCACGTCAAGGAGGCGGGCTGTCAGAAAGGGCCTCTTCTTTTATAAAAAAGGGGAAAAAAAAGCTTACTCATGTAAGACCTCTTCTACTACAGCTGTCCCCCAATGAGGAGAAGACATCTTTTCTGTAAATGAAAAAACAAAAAGAGAAAAAGGACGACTTCTACTAAGCTCTGGACGTGATTGTTCTCGTCTTCATTCCGGCTTTGGTGTACCTGCGGTCAGTCACGCTCCACTGCTCACCACATGCGCAAAAGACAAAATTTGTGGCGATGTATGTTTCCATGTTCTAGCAAGATATTCATTCTCATTTTGCACATTTGGTGAGTGGTGGAACGAGGCCTGCATTCTCAAAATTGGTAATTTGTGGTTGGTATGGTTGTATATTTTTTTCAAATCGTTCGAGGTATGTATGCCTACTACGCATTGTTTATTTTTCCCGTTTCTTTCCATGAAAAGGAACCGATGAAGCATGACAATGTCAGCACACACACGCGTCAAGACTCAAGACCCATTTTCCGCAGCAACCTTTCCACCGCTACATCATTCTAGCTTAGGACATAATCACACCGGGAACTCTTCGACTAGCTTAGGACATAATCACATCGGAGCCTCTTGGACTGAATCTGACTGCCATTTTCGCTTGGTTGAGGCGGGAAAGTTATGGTCCAAGCAAGCCCTTAATCAGTCCCTTACTAGCATGATTGAAATGCTAGGCAACGACCGACGGGTTCACTTGGTACACCCATTAGCTGTTGAAATACGGACCTGAGTTCAAATACCGATGGAAGTAGAACAATGAAATTCCTGGAGTACCTGGAGCCGGTGAGCTTTACAATGATATCTCAAGGCCATTGACCTCTCTTTTCTTTCAAAAAAAAAAAAAAAACCCAGCTAGCCAATGCAGCAACAGTGTTATCTGGAAATCACAGCATCACAACAATTTGACAACTGCATTGGGGAAGGAAAAAAAAAAAAAAGGGGCAACTGCATCAGGTGAATGAGAAACAGAAAGGAAAGGATATGATTCCTGTACCTATAATACACGACAGTGCTCGGTGATCGGCACAAAGCGCAAAGCAAGTCACAAACAGGCATTAACGAAGCTTCCAAGCTCTGGCAAGAAAGACCACCAACCACACCCACAAAGGCATCCCATACGTAGCTTTGTTAAGGACGCCATACGCATCTTTGTTAAGGACGTAACTTCATTAAGGAGATAAGAGGAAATAGGAAATAGGAAGATATCACTCCGTAAACAGAGCAGTCTCAATCACAACAAGTGCATAACACATGAGTGTGTCACACATGTAAGAGAAAGACGACAAGGTAGATGAGTAGATGCTTCGATTCAAACAGATAAACTTTCGTGCGTACCACCAACCCAATGTCCTCCAATCGTCCCCAAACCCACTCCCGTTGGCGTCGGCTACGGCCGCGTCAAAAGGAGATAAGAACATTCAGCATCACCAGGCTGAACACACAGGAGAGAGTTAGATGGAACAGCGCTCTCATCAGCATGCCAAGGAGTCATAAATTCAGAAAAAAGCAAAAAACAAAGGCAGAAATCTCAGAGTAGCATGCGTGTCACCCGGGATGTAACGGGCATCATTGTTTTTTCGTCCTTCTTGTTTTCTCTTTTCACCAGATGTAAGGGCCATGCTGACTTGATGCCATCCTCACTTTAGCTGGGTGGGGGCCTCACAGCTATGGGGTCACTTGTTTCCGAGGCCCTAGCATGTACTACTCGGCTGTCACCAGTGGGGGCAGGCCCTAATATCCATTGTTTACAGCTCAGACTACTGGTATGTACGACCCAATAGCTCCCCACCACCAAACATGATTCTGTCACCCAAAAAAAAAAAAAAAAAAAAAAAAAGTCACCCAGCACCTATGGTCCCAGCACTTGTGAGGATGAACAAATCTCAAAATTTTAAAAAGAGAAAAGAAAGAAAAAGGAAGAACTTATGGCCATGGTAACAGCCTGGACGTCCAGACCGGGTTCCAGACAGTCCGGTATCCGGTATCCGGTGTTCGGTGTCCGGTGTCCGGTGTCTGGTCCCCATGTCCGGATGAAGGGCCCTGGGGCAAAAAAA